CGGCCCGCGGCCCAGGAGCGCGCGGGCTCTCGCGGTCGGGGCCGCCCCTCGCCCATCCGCCGGGCGATGGGCCGCGGGCGCCCCGCCCAGGAGCGGGCCTTCCCTCCCTGGAGTCGTCTCGGGTGTTGCCAGAAGTGCCCCTGGCCCAGGGTGCCCCCAGGATTCTCAGGGTGGCCCGGGCGGCCTCCGGGGTGCCCCTGGCCCAGGGTGCCCCTGGCCTAGGGTGCCCCCAGGATTCTCTGGGTGCCCCTGGCCCAGGGTGCCCCCAGGATTCTCAGGGTGGCCCGGGCGGCCTCCAGGGCAGGGGTGGACCTGAACGGTGTTTTTTGGCGATCTCGTGGGCCGTTTTCGTTTCGATCTCGTTTTGCGTCAACGGCGGGTTGAAGACAGAACGAGGGAAAACGAACACAAAATGAACACGAAAAACACCGCTTAGGTTCAGTCCTGCTCCAGAGCACCTCTCACGCGGCCCAGAGTGCCCCAGGGGCTCCAAAGCGGAGCGAAAAGCTGGGGGCACCTCAGGCCAGGGGCACTTCTAGCAACACCCGAATCGTTTCCCCTCGGACCTAGGCCTCCCAGACTGAAGTCGGACATGTCCCTCTGCAGGAGGAACATGCGAGAATAGTAAACGCAGACGTAGTTGGTGACGAGTGTTCGTGCTCGTTTGACTATGTTTGATTCCCTGTAGGAGGACATGCCCGATCTAATCCCAGACCAGATGGGGTCCGAGTAGATGGGGTCAGAGGCTCGCGCTGCATCGCCGATGCATCGCCGATACATCGCCGATGCATCGTCGATGCATCGGCGGCGTTTGCGATGCGTCCGCGACGTCGGCGTGGAGAGAATTGGGCTCCACATCGAGCAGCATCGCCGATGCATCGGCGATGCGGCGTTCCCCCGCCTATTTCGGCACACGCCTCACACGTCTTGTGGCCCCATCGTGAACTCCACCCACGGTCTCAGCGGCCGCCGACGTTTGGCGGCGTTGCGACACTCCGCCATGCCCTTGACACGTTTCGTGGCCCCACATTGAGATCCACCTGCGGCCCAAGTGGCAGATTCCGCAGGGCGGCGCCGCCCGTTTCGGCACACCCCTCGTGCGCTTCGTGGCCCCGTTGGGGAGCTCCGCTCACGGCCCCAGGGCGGGAGGGCCCGCATGGCGGCGCCGCCCACTTCAGCGCCGTCCACCTCGGCGCACCCCTCGCAAGCTCCGTGGTGCCTCATGGAGCTCCTCTTGCGGCCCCAGCGGCAGGGTCCGCAGGGCGGCGCCGCCCAATCCAGCTCAACCCTCGCGGGGACCGCAGCCTCATGGGGAGCTCGACCTACGTCCCCAGTGGGACAGCTTGCACGCGTATCGTCTCCCGTGTTGGGTCACCGGCCCCAGTGGAAACGTTTGCATGGGTTTCTCGCGCAGTTCGGCGTACCGCTTACGTACACGCTTCTCGCCCCCGTAGGAAGCTCCACATGCGGCTCCGGTTGGAGCGTTGTAAGCGTTTCTCCATCCATTTCGGCGCATCCCTCACACGTGCCGACCATAGAGAGCTTCATCGCCAAACGGTACATGAAGCTGGCAAGGGTAGGGTCCCATGCCACCCTAATATTGTCAGCCTAGCAGAGCCAGCCGCTGCAATCGATCGGGATTGGCAGTTGTCTCGAAGCATTGCTTCCTTTTTGGTCGCCAATGCTGCGCTCTGTGTGATCTGAAGTTCAGCGGAGGCTCAGTGTTTTTGATTCGTGCAAGGCACACCGTGTGGTGCGAGAAGGCTCCGAGGCCGTGGTGCTGCGGCCGCCTTGGTGCCTGCGGTGCACCAGCGCAGTTGACCTGAGGAGAACTTACTCTCTGCCCTCCGCGGGTGTCTCTTCGTCTGTGACTCTTCTCTTCTCCTCGAGCGTGACGTCTTCCCCTGGAAGGTGGTCCTCGCGCGCGAGCTGCTGTGTGGGATGCCAGCGGGTACAGGCTGCCGAATGGACCGTGCAAGAGGTGGGCAGACGGCATCCGCAACCAAAGGACTCGGCGCAAGACGAGACGCTCGGTTTCGCTCGCCTTTCTCTACTGGGCAGTGGCCTGCACTTGAAGACGGGTGCCTCGACGTCGCCAACTGAGCGCTGCGGAGCTACGCGCCCATTCCCGTAGGCGGGGCAGCTCTGTTGAGGCGGCGCTTTCCTCTTCTTCCTCCTCCTCCTTTACCTCCTCCTCCTCGAGTGCTGCATCATTCTTGCAAGGTTAGAAACCCATCCGTCAGGTGCTCGCAATGGAACTGTTTTTTGTTGTCTGTGTGTGTGTGTGTGTTGAACACCATGTTAGTGGAACCCGATGCGTGTGAAACCCTGTGTGTGTGTTGACTCCACAAGATCAGTAGGGCTTGCATCCACAGGGATCCAGTCGAGGCTGTATGGGCAGTGTTGCCTTCGACAGGACTTGCCGCTTGGCGCACGATGACGGAGAGCAGCTACCCATCCTTGACATGCCCGAGTGAAGCGACCAGCACGCCACATACCACTCCTCGGCAGCAGGACGGCTACAAGCGTCTTACCAGGCAGCTTGCTTCTGCCGTCCCCGCGTGAGGCGAGATGTGATACCAACGCGACAGATCTCTTCCGCGTGACGCTCCGCTGCACGACAGAGGGCGGCGACAGAGCTTGGCACACAAGCGCGGACACAGGGCAGGCATCGCTTGCTCCTTCGTTCGCCCATGCGGCGGCCGCATGCAGCGCGCCGTCAGGCCACGCGACGGGGTGAGCAGCAGCACCACGCCGTCGTCCTCGAGTGGGGCGGACAACGGTGACCACCCTGCTGGACGAGCGAACAACTCACACCCATACCCATAGGAGGGTCGAAAGGAGGGGAACTGGCTATGGGAATGGGTGCGAGTTGTCGGACCCTGGGGGAAACTCCCATTCGAGTGGGGACCCCCATCCGACCACACGCACCCATAGCCTCCTCCGTCCCCCCTATGGGTACGGGTGCGTGTTGTTCGATCGTCACTGCTGGACGCGAAGCAGCGGCCCAGCCGCTTTCCACGAGAGGCGCCCGACGGACGTCGCTGGCTCGTCCGCTGCGCAGCGGGGCCGCCGCCTGCAGCACGACGGTGAGCAGACTCTCGGAGCTCCGCCCGCACTTCTCGGGCCTGAGCTGGGGCCCCCTGGCGGCGCCTCCGGCGCCGCCCCTGTCGCTCCGTGCGCCAGGGAGAGGGTCCAGCGCCGATCCAAGAGATCCGCAAGGACCTCCGACAGCTTATGTTTTGGCCTTTTATGGGGTTCCTCCATGACTCCATGACTGGTAGCGGCATCGCGGCTCGAGGACTGCGATGTGCTCTTGCTCGCCTTGAGCTGCATCGACGACCAACGAGGTTGCGGCCCCGTCGTTGCGGTACAGCGGGTGGATGGGCCCTGGCTGGGCTCTTCGCCGCCGCTCGTCGTCCCTCCTGCTGGTGCCCCTCTGTGGGGGCATCACCCGTGTCCACATGTGGTCGCGCCGCCAGTGCGTATGAGACTCCGTGTGTGCAGCACCCCATGTATGTGGAACCCCATGCGTGTGCGTGTGTGTGTGTGTGTATGCGTGTGCGTGTGCGTGTGCGTGTGTGCGTGTGTGCGTGTGTGCGTGTGTGTGTGTGTGTGTGCGTGTGCGTGTGCGTGTGCGTGTGCGTGTGCGTGTGTGTGTGTGTGTGTGTGTGTGCGTGTGCGTGTGTGTGTGTGTGTGTGTGTGTGTGTGTGTGTGGAACCCCATACGTGCGGTACCTGCAGGAGGGGGGCTGGCCGCCACAGGGATCCAGAGAAAGCCAGACGTCCAGGATTCAAGCGGCCACTGACGAAACGCGCAGCACATCTCCAGTGGGGCGGGGAGCCGTAAAGCTGGACCATCGGGATGGAAGTAGCCACCAGGTGTGGCTCATAGCGCCATAATCGTGGATCCATAAGTCATAGGCCAGGACATATTCTTCTAGAGACGACAACTCCTCAAGAGGAATCAATCACGTTCTGGGTAGTCAACCTTCGACCCCCTTGAGATGTTCCTTTTCTGATCGATTGTTCTGGCTTGGCCTCCTATTTTTTGACCGTCGATGTATGATCACTGTCAGCATGGCATTCGAGAGCCCATATTTTGATGGACGGGACTGGGAAGGTGCTCTGTACTCACTTGGAGTTGCACCTCCCAGACCACAGCTACGGGGCCATGCTGCAGGTTTCGTTTCATGTTGTCAGTTTCTTGTGTTGCATTTGTCATGCAGAAGCTCACCCAATTCACGCGTTGCTTAACAGGATGCACGACGGCATAGCGGCGGCTTGCCACTCACCATCAAGATCCAGAGCCTGAGCGGTACTTTCTTTTACAGCAGTGCGAGGGTGAGGTCTGCATATCTCACGCTTCCCCTCCATTCTGCCAGCCTTCCCACAGCACGCCTCCACAGGTGCTGAAGGACCACGTTGCCAAGGCGGCGGTTGCAGCGCAGTGCTATCCTTTGCTTCCGAACCCGTGTTTGCACGCCTACCGGCCTGTCTTGACACGAGCTCGCGCTTCTGCCCACTCTGAGGGTCGCCACCCATAAGTACAGTCGGCCCGTCACACAGACACAATGAATCGTCGATTCCAAGGAAACTATAGGAAAATATGGGAAGTTGGGGGGAAGACAAAAACCCAGAAAATATGGAAAACTATGGGGAATCCTTCTATTTGTGTCTATTTATTTGTGTGTGTCCCAGGGCCCCTTCACAGGAACGGGATAACAAAAGTCGTTCCACAGAATTCTGAAGTGCTGCCTGTGGGCCACGAAGCGCCGTGCCGGGTGGGGGAGATGCGCGCGAACTTTGTCACCTGGATTTTCGGTGGGGCTCCCTGGGGCCAACAAAGCGCTGTACTGGGTGGGGGAGACGCATGTGGACCCTGCCACTGGGGCCTTTGGTGGAGCTCCCTCTGGGCTACGAAACGCTGTGCTGGGCGGGGGAGACGCATGTGGACCCTGCCACTGGTCTCAGAGCGTCCCGGAACGCTCTGAGAAGGCCGCGGCGCCGGATACAGTCTCCAGAGCCCCCAGATCTCAGAGATCCCCGATGTGTCCTTGTCCGATTCTGTCCCTGCATCGGCTTCGTCTTCCCCTCTCCCACGCCGGTCCTCCTCTGGTCCTCATCCCCAGGGGGGGGGGTCCCAGGGGGGCCCTTTTCCTCCTCCTTCTCCTCCTCCCCCTCTTCCTCCTCCTTCTCCTTCTCCTCCTCCTCCTCCTTCTCCTCCTCCCCCCCCTCCTCCTCCTCATCTCCCTTCTCCTCCTCCTCCCCCTCCTGGTCGTCGTCGATACCTTACGACCTCCTCCCCAGGGCCGGCTCTTCCTGCCGAGCCGTTCTTTTGTTTGCAACTCCCGGGAGCCTTGTGTGTCCTCGCAGTTTTGTGTGTGCCCGGTGTCGTGCTTGCCCAGCGTTGTCCCTGTTCTGGCTTCGTCGGGGGCGGCAAAGAGGGGGGTGATGACTAGGGGGGGGTGGATATCATGGCGGGGGCCATGATACCTCCCCAGATTTCATGGCGCCTCTTCTTATTTCATTACGTTCCCGGCCCCCCCGCTGGGCCGCGCACATGCCGCCGGTCATGATTTGCACCCCCCCTCTTGGACACCCCCCTCTTGGCCGCTCCCGACTTCGCCTTCCCGAGGCCTCCAGGGACGCGGCTCGAGCAAGAAGATATCGGCAGATGTCCGGGGCCGCCAGCGGACCAGCTCCCATGAGGATGTCCGGGGTGGCCCCCCCGAGGTGAGGACCAGAGTTATGATGTTCCAACCTGCTCTAGCCTTGACCACCAGACAGAATTTCGAGCGCCCCAAAGCACCGAAACTCGAGGATTTTCACGTGTCGGGCCTGGGGAGACATTCGCCCGACACTGTTCCGACACTCTTCCGACACTCTCTCGGCTTTTCTCCGGGTGCGCGAAATCATCTCTAGGATACGGTCCTACGACGACGACGACGACGAAGAGAGCTATACACATGCACCCATCCTGGCAAGGCCCATCCTTGACCCAGGATCGGTGCATATACCTTCCTGGCCAAGGTAGAGGGCGTATGCACCGATCCTGGGCTCAGGATGGGCCTGGCCAGCATCGGTGTATGTGCATATTTCTCTTTTCGACGACACGTAAGAGTGACCCTTCGCCGGAGTGACCTTTGGTGCGGGCCCATCGGGGTCCCCTATCGCCGAACGCGAGGCGGCAGTGGCGTCTTGCGCGCTTCTGTTTGGCCCCCCCGCGGCCCCCAACAAGCCGCGCACCAAAGGTCACTCTTACCCAGGGTCACTCTTACGTGTGGCCGATCTTTCCCCTAGAGGTGAGGACCATAGGTGTCTCCGGCGGGGGGCGGGCCGTCGCCGCGCAGGGGGGCCACGCCACCGGGAGGAGGCCGCCGCGCGCGGGCCCCCAGTGGCAGCGCCGCCCGTCCCTGCTGGAACGGCCAGGCGCTGGCACAAAGTCCGACTCTGGGTTCGCAAGGTTTTTGTTCTGTTAAATATTGTTCGTACAATATTATTTGTGTTGTTATTATTATTGATTGTATTAGCTCTGTTGTTATTATTACGGTTGTTTCCCTTACTATTGTTGTTATTATTTTTCGTTTTAATATTAAATCTTATGATCACTATTAGTATTATTCGTATTAGTTGTATCATTCTTATCTTTATGTTAGTACTACGAAGTCGTATTAGTTTTATGCTAGAACACACATATATATGTATACATATATATACCTACATACATGCACACTTATATATGTATATATATATATATATATGTATAGGCCTTACGGCCGGTACCGCCGACTCTGAAGGCTGGACCTTCCTCGGGGCCCTGCGCTGGCGCCCGGCCCCCTCCAGGACCCGCTAGGATCCCGCGGGAGGTGGGGGGGGCGGGGGGGCAAGCGGTCCCCCCGCTGGGATCCCGCGGGGGGGCCGCTTGCCCCAAGTGCTTGGCATCGCTCGGACGTGTGGATTTTTTTTTTCGGCGAGGACCATCGAGGAACATCCTTGATCATTTGGCGAAACAACCACGCACGAAACCGAAAAAAGCACAGGGTATGGACGTCCGAGCGATGGCGAGCGCTGGGATCCCGCGGGGGGGCCGCTTGCCCCCAGTGGCAGCGTCGCCCGTCCCAGCTTCTGCGGCAGGGCGTCGACGCAAAGCTCCACTCCGGGTTCGCATGGGGTTTCGCTCGAAGAGGCGCAAAACTGGAGCAACATCGCCTCTCGGAGGCCCGGCATATTCCCTGGATCGGCGCTGGGCCCCTCCTGGCGGCGCCTCTGGCGCCGCTCCTGGCGCGCTCAGCGCGCCAGGGAGGGGGGTCCAGCGCCGATTCGAGAAACCCGTGCAGAACTCCGAATGCTAACGTATGTTGATGCCGTTTACTTCATCTTGTCATGTCCTTCCAGGCCCATTTGTGTGGGTTTTCCATTGGTGGGCCCTGTCTCCATTTCACGTCTGTCTTCTTGAATGGGTTTTCCTCTGGCCCTTCCAGGCCCAACTGTGGGTCTTCCATTTGGCTGGGCCATGGTTCCACCCCAAGTCTCTCTTCTTGCGTGGGTTGTCCTCGGGAGCTCCTCGTGCCTCTGGGCCCAGCGGGGGCCGCCAGGATTCCGTAGTGGCAACACTTGGAAGCAGGGCTCGAGCTAAAAGTTGTTGTGGCAATCTCGTGGACCGTTTTCGTTTCGACCTCGTTTTGCAGCAAATGTGGAACGAAGACAGAACGAGGGATGACGAAGACAAAACGAAAACGGAAAACACGGTTTAACTCGAGCCTTGCTTTGAAGTTCGAGCAGCTTCGGCCAGGCGGGTGCACGCTGCTCCGCGAGGAGGGGCGCGCACCCGCGAGGTCGGGGCGGCTCCTCGGAGGGCGGTGGGCGGCTCGGCCTGGCCAGCTGGGGCTGCGGCCTTGCGGCCGCGAGGGATCCGGGGAGGACCCGGGAGCCCACAGGCCACAGGGGCGCTCTCGAGGGCGCGAAGTTGTTCGCGTTTCGCGCTTCGCGATTCGGCTGCGATTCCTCATCCTCCTCTTCTCCCCTGGGAGGCGGCGCGAGAGCGCGAAGTTACCCGCACTTCGCGCTTCGCGCAGCGCGAAGCGCGAAGTTGGGAGCCCTTGAAACCAGATGGTGAGGTATCAGGTGGTGTCCTGGAATCCCCCAAAAGTCACCGCCGGGATTTGGAACACGGGGTCACTGCTGGGTTTTGGGACTGCTGGGCCCACCAGCGTTCGGGACATCCTCGAAAAACGCACACGAGTCCTCAAACTGGGTGGTGACACCAAATCGCCCGAGACTCACCGCAGGGTGTTATCACCACCACTTGGGGACAACGGGAGGCGCTGCGGCGGTTGGCGTGCGAACGCGCGTGCAGGTTCGTGTGCGTCCCAACCGACACGGGGGTGTATGCGGTACCGTCAGTTGGCTATCTCTGAGGGTCTGGCGGCTTGGAGGATCGATGACAGAGGTGGAGAGGGAGGAGGGAGAGGCAGGACGATCGGAGCACTTGGCATCGCTCGGATGTGTGTATTTTTCCTTCGGCGAGGACCATCGAGGAGCATCCTTGATCGTTTGCGAAAAAGCCACGCACGAAACCGAAAACAACACAGGGAATGGACGTCTGAGTGATGGCCAGGTTCGTGTACGTTCCAAACGACACGGGGGTGCATGCGGTACCGTCAGTTGGCTATCTCTGAGGGTCTGGAGGCTTGGAGGATCGAGGACAGAGGTGGAGGGTCGCCGAGCGCGTTGCGCTACTCACCAAGTGCCTGCCCGCAAACGCCCGAAACACACGTGTCTGCTTCAAGGTAATTTATCGTAGATCCCCCGCGGCGGATCCAGGCCATTTGCGAGTACCCATCGGTCGTTGAAAGTAGGTATTTGTGGGTTCCCAGATTCCAATCTACTTTCAGCGCCTTCCTAACACTTCAAGAGTCGAGTGGTTCTCCCTCTTCCCTCCTCTTCGGGAGGCGGGCGGAAGCCCGATCTATTTCCAACGCCTTCCTACTTCATGTTTCTACCTGCTTCTTCCGGCCGATGGGCAGCTGCTTGGCGAGTAGTGGAACGCGCTCGTCTGGAGGTGGAGGGAGCGGCAGCACGATCGGAGCAGCATCGAGTGTTGCTAGAGGTGCCCCTGGCCCAAGGTGCCCCCCTGAGACTTCCAAGGAGGCCCCCTCTCTCCTTGTCCTCCAGAGCCCCCCCCACGAGGCCCAGCGGGCCCCGGGGGCTCCAGACTGGACCGACAAGCTGGGATCACCTCCTGCCAGGGGCACCTTTGGCACCCCCCGACAGCATAGCCTGACGTACAGTTACGCTCGGGACCTCCGGCCGAGCGTGCCGCTCTCTCCGCCGGCCCTGGCCCTGGCCCACTTTTCGGTGGGCGACGCGCCCTGCACGCCGGCGGTCCCCGGGCGGCACGGCCGCGAGCCTCTCCGAGCCTCCCCGCCCCGCGGGGCGGAGCGGCGCGCTATTCGCTCGGGGGGTGCACCGCGTGGCGCCGGCGTGCTGCCGGGCCCGCCGCCGCGGCGCGCGCTCTCTGCAACGGTTCCTGGGCGTTTTTTTTTGTCGGCTGCTTTTGGCACTGCGTCCCTCCTTTTTTGTCGGCTGCTTTTGGCACTGCGTCCCTCCCTCCTCCTTATTCTTCTTCCCGCACGCCTCCTCGTTTCCTTCTCCCCTCCTGCACTGCATCCTCCATCCGCGCCCCTTCGCCCTGCTCCTTCCCGACTCGTTCCTCGTTCCTCCATCGTCCTTCCCTCCGCCCTTCCCTTCTCTCATCCTTCCATCCTCTCTTCTCTCTCCTCCCCTCCTTTCTCCTTCCTTCCTCATCCCCCTCTCCTCTTTTGTCTTCGAGCGTCACGGAGCCGAAACAGTCTGTTCTGTCATCCTCGAGGTTCGTCATTTCTTTAGCGCTGCGTTTGACACGGCCCGTGTGGATGTACACTGCATTCTATTGCAATGCATGAGATGCTGTATGCCTACAGACGATGCAGGTTGCATGCTTTGCAATCTCTATGTTGTGCAGCTTATACGGATCACGCCATGAGATGCATACTATGGCGTTCGGTCGACGGTGTGTTGAGTAAGTAGTGCTGACCGCCTCCGCGCGTGACCACCTCCAATGCTCATGCAACCATCCCACCCACCCGCCCGCAACCTGTACTGGGCGACGACATCGACGATGAATGACGATGTCGATGCTGATGCTGATGCTGATGATGATGACGACGCTGATGAGGTTGATTCTCACCAGGAAGATGATCACGAAACTGACGATGCATATTCTGATGCTGATGACGATATGGATGATGCTGATTCGGATGCTGATGCTGATGATGATGATGACGATGATGTTGATGATGCTGCTGATGATGACGAATATGATGCTGACAATGCTGACGATGCTGATGATGCTGATGTTTATGATAACGATGGCGATGATGCTATTACTGATGATTTGGCGATGATGATGCTGCTGATGATGCTGATGATGCTGATGAACATAAAGACGAATACGACAGTGAATGTCATGATGCCGATGCTGATGTTGCTGATCGTGATGCTCATGATGACGATGGGGACGAGGGTGGCCAACGTCAGCATTGTGGTGAAGACGGTGGTGTTTCTGATGAAGGTGGCAATGACGACATTGGCGATGGTGATGACCATGGTGTTGGTGATGAATCGGAAGAACCCGCGCAGAAATTTGGCGAGAGCGACCATACCGATGGTGACGATGATAGCTGTAGTTGCCATTATGACGACGAGGATGGTGATGATGTTGTTGATGATGATGATGATGATGATGCTGATACGGATTCTGATGATGATAATGATGCTGAAACTGATACTGATGCTGATGCTGCTCATGATGATGATGCTGATGACGATGACAATGGCAAAGGTCACGCTCGTGGTGATGCTAATGTGCAGATGAGGTTGAAGAGGAAGCGTTCGGTCGCAGAACCTCAGAATCATACCTGGCATATCTGTGCTGTCAGCTCTTCCCGTGTGTTTTTGAGCACCCCTTGTGGTCAGACGAATAGAAGACCTGTTGTTTTGAACAGGGTTTCGATGTGCGCGCGCAGAGGCTCGCGTGTGGCCCGCGTGGCTTTGGGTGACAGGGCTCTTGAGCGTTCTCGGCATGCGCGCGCGTGGCCCGCATCGCCTGTCCTGACAAAATGGCGAAACACTCTTAATGATTCCAGCGGGTGCGCGCGTGCGGGATTTGGGCAGGCTCTTGATTGAAGGACATCTTGTCTGCTGGTTTCTTTTGAGAATCAGCAATTGCCTGACACGGCTAGAAATTAAATGATTTTGACATGTACGTGCGGCGACGCTCGTATTTGCCCCGCATGTATGTTGCAATAGGTTTAAGGCCACGTCTTTGATCAACGTATGTGCACCGCATCGTACTAGTGATCAAGGATGAGGGGGGGCCGGAACCGATTGGCCAGGGATGTTAATGTTCGATACTTCGGATGTGCTATGGTGCATTCTTTATCTGAAACGTCAACCAGTCGCGCAGAGGTGTCGTTAACACATGCCTCCGGGAATTTGGGGGGGAGCATGTTCCAATTCTTGTCAGGAAGTGAGCATATGTGGTGCATTGTGTTTTGACCACCTCGAGCGTAACCACCTCTAGTGCTCGTCGTAAACTCCAACGCTCGAGCAAATACACCCACTCACCCGCAACTTGCTGGCAACACTCATCTGGCGTAGTGTCGCGATGACCCTTCTCATGCAGATCATTGACCCCGGCTTGTGAGTGATGATGCTGCTTCTGATGACAATGTTGATGATGGTGATGATGATGATGATGATGATGATGATGATGATGATGATGATGATGAGGAGGATACAGCTGCTGCTGATTCTGCAGATGATAACGACGGCGACGATGCTAATCATGATGATGACGAGGACGATGCCAGCGACGACTACAGCGACTATGGTGACGATGATGATGATGATGATGATGATGATGATGATGATGATGATGAACCTGCTTATGATGAGGATAATGATGACGATGATACTGGCGACGATGTTGCTGATGCTGCTGATGATGCTGGTGATGATGCTGATGATGGTGATGATGATGCTGATGATGATGATTATGATTATGATGGTGATGGTGATGCTGATGATAATGATGATGTTGCTAAGATGGTGATGATGATGATGATGATGGTGATGAAGATGATGAAGATGATGACGATGATGATGATGATGATGATGATGATGATGATGAGTATGGTGTACGCTGATTATGATGACGATGATGATGATGCTGATGCTGCTGATGATGGCGACGACGACGACGATGCTTATGATGATGATGATGATGATGATGATGATGCTGATGATGATGATGATGATGATGATGATGATGATGATGTTGATGCTGATGCTGATGCTGATGCTGATGGTGATGCTGATGATGATAGAGATGATGCTGATGATGATGGCAATGGGACATCTTACGCTGACGACGATGATGGATTCCCTCTCTCCTCCCCTCGTCCTCTCTGCCCGTCGTCCACTCCCCCCGACCGGCCCCGAGGGGTTGGCGGCGGAGGCCGAGGCACAGGCAGCAGCTGCGGTGTCCAGCGAGGGGAGTGCGGAGGCCCTTGGCGCGTACCCGCCTCCCTCGTTCTACTGCCTTCTTCTCCTCTTCGTCGTCGTCCTCGTCCTCGTCCTCGTCCCTGTTGTTTTCCTCCTCCTTCCTCTCCTGGTTCCTGCTCCTGCTCCTGCTCCCCCCACTTCCTTGTCCTCCTCGTCCTCTCCCTCCCCCTCCTCCTCCTCCTCCTCCTCCTCCTCCTCCTCCTCCTCCTCCTCCTCTTCCCGCCCCGTCATCCTCGTCCTGCTCCTTCTCTTCCCGCCCCCGTCATCCTCGTTCTGCTTCTGCTCCTCCTCCTCGCCTCCTCCCGTCATGCACCCAGGCTCTGCTGGTGCCCAGGAGGGCGGTTCGTTCCTTATGTAGCGCTCTTTGTTGCAGCAGCTTTGCTGTAGATGCTTCTACCCCCTGATTCGTTCCCCTCAACAGTGGTGGAGGAGGAGGAGGAAGAGGAGGAGGAGGAGGAGGAGGAGGAGGAAGAGGAGGAGGAGGAGGAGGAACAGGAGGAGGAGGAGGAGGAGGGGGAGGAGGAAGGAGGAGGCTTCTCGGGGGCCTCTTGGGGCTCATGGGGCCTCCTGGGTCCTCTTGGGGCTCTTGGGGCTTTTGGGGCTCTTGGGCCTCTTGGGGCGTCTTAGAATCCTCTGGGGCCGTCCCAGCGCTTTCTTGGCCCGTCCGGCGCCTTCGGGGGCCCTCTTTGGGCCGTCTTGGAGCTCTCTTGGGCCGTGCTGGGGAGGAGGAGGAGGAGGCGGAGGAGGAGGAAGGAGGCCTTCCCCCCTGAGCCGCTCCCCCCTCCAACCGTTCCCCCTCGCACCCGAGAGTCGTTGGCTAAAGGGCGGGCGCTGCGGCCCGCTGGCGCAGTCGTCCTGCGCGTGGGGTACGGCGGGGCGGGAGCGCTCCGTCGGAGCTCGGCATGTACAAGTTGTAGAGCGTTCTCTAGGGCCACCAGCAGGGTGCGAAGGTAGTCGCGCTTCGCGGTCTGGGCGATGTCGGAGCGAGGTGCGAGTCCCTCATCCTGTTCGTGGAGCGGCGCGAAAGCGCGAGGATAATTCCGCTTCGCGCTTCGCGGAGCGCGAAACTCGAAGGCAGATGCACTAAAGTTCTGTAGTGTCAACACTGATAATCAGGATGAACGACTTTCCAAGGTTTCCTTTGCATCCTTTTTTTCCTTCGGTCTTTTTTGGCGCCACTTTCGTTGGCCGCGCCCCGCTCGAAAAGTATCGCGATGGGCGTCCAAGCCCCTTGCATCCTGATCGGGCAGCCTTACCGTCAGTTTCAACTGTGCAAGTTGGTGACTGTTTTTTATTCCCGGCGATAGCGGGCGTTACCATGGAAGGGGGGAGGAAAAGGTACTCATACCGCTATCCTCGCCCCGTTTTCGCCATTTGAGATCTCAGATGCCCTCGTCGCCACGGCTGGACCCGCTTCAAAAAATCCTGGCCAGCACACGCCCCAAGAAAGGTCCGGGGAGATTTTGTATCGGCACCTTCAAGTCTGACATGTCCCTCTGCAGGAGGAATCTTCAACACATAGTCAACAAATTATCCATGCAAACGACCCAACCACATGCAGTTGTGAATACCAGGAGCCCCAATTTCAAAACATGTGTTTTGGATGTTCGAGGGCTCCCCTGGCGCCCCCGCCGTGCTCTTAGAGGGCCGCCCCCCCTCTGCGTACATCGGCGCCTCGCCCCATAAGTTTTCACATGTTGTGGATGTTCGTCTTCCCCTCCGCTTCCTGTTGTTTGTGTCTGTGCGTGTGTTCCCCTCCTGACTTGGAGCCCTGACCTTCCACGCGCTCCCAGGCCTCGGGCCCGGCGAGGGCGACATTGGAGGCCGATCGCAGCCAGAAGCCCGGCCGCCGGCCGCTCTAGTTTTGTCGGTCTCTGGGGGGAACACATCGTCGGAGATCTTGGACCCGAAACTGCGAACCATTCGGGCCGTGCACACCTTTGGCACAAGACTCCTGGAGGGATGCGGACAGGCAAACAAGAATAGGCGCTCATTCCCAGGAACATATGGGGCACTGTGGGAAGTGGACGGGGAAGACGAAAGTCCAGAACATATGGAACCTATAGGGCATCCTGGGATTTGTGTATCTTCATTTGCCTGGCCCTGGGCTCCATCAAAGACGCCCGGCCCCGGCCGCAGCGAGGCCGCGGGGGAGCAGGCTGCAGCTGGCGCGGGGGGGTGCGACCAGAAGAGCCTGCAGGCGGGGCCGGCCGGCGTGGCGGCCTGTCGGGCCGGACGAAAGGGGGGGATTGGGAAAGGGGGGGTTACGGAGTTTGCTGCATGCAGCTGGTTTCGGCCTCACCGAGGGGCCCATTCCTCGATATATAGCCGCCTCCGGCGCCGGGAGGCGCTGGGGAAAATCAGCTACGTGAGCTGATTCTCACCCCCCCCCCTTTGCTATCCCCCCCTTTCTCCCGACCCGAGCCTGGTCGCCTTCGAGCTGGTAGAGACGGGGGCCAATGCAAGCGGGGGTCAGCCAGAGCGCCAGATCTTGCAGGCTCCTGCAGAGCTGGGGCGACGACATCTACAGATATCCGCTGCTCCCTGGTTAGGCCCGTCCTGAACCCCGGAGCTGTGTGAAAACGCCCTCCAGGCCTCCTCCTCCTCCTCCTCCTCCCCCCCTCCTCCTCCACTCTCTCCCCGTGACGGTACCGTGCGTGCGCGGCGGGTTGGGGGGGTGGGGCCGTTCCCCCAAAGGCGTGGCGCGGTGTTCACGGGCATGTTGTGGTATTGACAGGCACGCGTTGGTGCTCACAAGCGTGCTGTGGCCCTCGCAGGGCCTCCTCCCCTTCCCCCCATAACGGACGTTGCTGGGTGGGGGAGTAGAACATTATATATGCGTCTTCCCTGGCAATAACTGGCGTTTCGGGAGGTGGGGATGGGCCAGTAGCGTCATGATCTGCGCTGGCGCTGTCCGACGATGCCGAGGGCTGCCGCCTGCCTAAGAATGGCCAGCGGCTTAGACGGCGCCGGCACAAATCGTGACTTTGCTACTCGAGAGGGGGGGGCGGGGCGGGTAGCGGGCACTACAGTAGGGGTCCCGAAGAAGGAACCCTTTTCAATGGGGAGGGGCTCGGCGTTCCTTGATTGCTTCACAGTTTGCCTTGGGTTTTCCTTTGGTTTCCGACAGGAAATCGAAGTTCAACTTCTGGAGAAAAGGAGCCTCGTTCCTTATCTAGGGTTCCTTAGGCCAACGCCCCGAGTGCATCGCGGTTCATAAGACATTGGCTCCAACCTCGGTGCGGGAACAGACGCCGATGCCGCCACCCTTCCCTCGTCGCTACGGCTAGATGCGCATCGACCGATTTCGGCACACGCCTCACACGAGCCGTGGCCCCGCAGGAAGCCCCACCGACGGCCCAGCTGTCTGCGTCCGCACGGCACCGCCGCGCCCCTGTCGGCACACTCCTCGCACGGCTCGTGGCCCCACAGAGAGCCCCACCAGCATCCCCTTCCGCTGCTGGCCCGCTACCTTGGTCAGTCCAAGGTTTTGGAGGCGTTGGCGTTGATGTCAAAAATAACACAGAGAGCCCCACACCGGGCCCCAGTGGCTGCGTTCGCATGGTACCACGGCGCCCATGTCGACACACACACACACACACACACACCCGTACCGTTGGTGGCCCCATGGGGAGCCCCACCGAAAGTCCAAGTGGTTGCGTTCGCATGGCGCCACCGCGCCCATTTCGGCACACCCCTCGCACGTTTCGTGGCCCCATAGGAGGGAGCTCCACTGAACGCCCAAGTGGCTGCGTTCGCATGGCACCACCGCGTTTTTTCGGTACACCCGTTACCCGCTGCACGTTTCGTGGCCCTGCAAGGAGCCCCACCGAAGGCCGCAGTGGCTGCGTTCGCATGGGCCCACCGCACCCATTTCGGCACACTCCGTACACGCTTCATGGCCCCATAAACACCTCCACCGAATGCGATGGATACAACGACGGTGCTCACAACTGTGTCTTGTCGGGTCTTTCGCCAGAGTAATTTTCGTGTCCGGCCTCCTGCGGGAGCCCTTCCTGGGCCCTGGGAATTTCAAACACGTCTCAAGAGGGGGGCCAGGAGGGAAAGACGCACACAGACGCCATCAGTCGTCGATCCCCAGGAAGGTATGAGAAAATGTGGGAAGTGGGGGTGGGGAAGACGAAAACCCAGCAAACATGTAGAAATATTGGGGCTCCTGGGACTTGTGTTTACTTCTTGGTGTGTCCCGGGGCCCCTTCAGGGGGGGGCGGGGCCTCCAGGGGTCCACGGCCCAGCGGGTCCAGACCTCCAGGGGCCCCCACGCTGCGAGGAGGTCACGACGTGGGAGGCCTGGGCCTTTCGCCAGGGAGGAGGAGGCGGAGGAGGAGGAGGAGGAGAACGAGGTGGTGGAGGACGAGGAGGAGAACGAGGAGGAGGAGGAGTAGGAGGAGGAGGACAATGATGCTGATGGTGATGCTGATGCTGATGCTGATGCTGATGATGCTGATGCTGATGACGATGACGATGCTGATGCTGATGATGACGATAACGATGCTGATGGTGATGATGATGATGATGGTGGTGATGATGAAGACACTGATGATGATGATGATGGTGGTGGTGGTGGTCGTGGTGATGATGATGATGACGATGATGATGATGATGATGATGATGATGATGATGATGGTGATGGTGGTGGTGGTGACGATGATGATGATGATTATGATGATGATGCTGATGCTGATGCTGATGCTGATGCTGATGCTGATGCTGATGATGATGATGATGATGAGGATGAGGATGACGAGGATGATGAGGATGATGAGGATGATGAGGATGATGAGGATGATGAGGATGATGAGGATGATGAGGATGATGAGGATGAGGATGAGGATGAGGATGAGGATGAGGATGAGGATGAGGATGATGA